GGAAGGCTTGGTTGGCCCGGGCGACTCACGACCCAGGATTTGATCCCCGGACCGCTCGCGTGGTGAGCGCGCCACTTGTCACTACACCACTTCCGCCCTAAAGATTGGGGGTCGTTAATGGAGTTAAATAATTGCTGGTCAAAAAAGTTTCCCGTCATTCACCTGTGTACAGGGGGACCCAGAAATATTGCTTTATATCTTGCGCACCTCTTTTTGCTGAAGATTGTTGATGCTTTCTTTTAGCATTTGTTATATCACTTTCTTCATTTTCCTCTAAATAAGATTGTCCAATCTCACGGTTTGTCTTTAGTCTTCAAGTTTGAAGGTTACGTCCAAACCTCAAGATAGGTGCCATTTCCTCCTCTCACGCGGAGGTTGTAGTGTCAGGTGAACCAGCGGAACGAGGTTTCATCGGCGGAATTCGCGAGGCGCGGCAAGGCGTGGAATTCCAGCGGGTGCCCACAACACCTCGGAATGGAGGAGCGTGCGTTGGCTAAGCTCTAAAGACTAAATTCCATGCGCCTATGGCGAGCTGTAGACTTGGCCTGCTTCCGTGTGTCCAATAAGGACAACGAGCTGGCGCGTGCCGGTTGCTTTGTAGAGCGATGGACGTCGATCTGTAAGAGAACGACAATTGTGTCAAGAAGGACACTAACGATCGACTCAGCGAAGAGCTTAGGCGTAATGTGCGTGGCGTGACTGTGCTGGAGGTTCACTGTTACTAGGCTATATGTTAGGTTACTTTATGTCGCCTATGTACTCACTCACAAAAGAATAAAAGGTACGTATATAAGAAACTAGGAAAGAAGCATAGAAAGAATATCTGTAAAGTTCTATAGAATCGGCAGGAGAAACTATGATTAATGTCTATTAGAGAACTATAAACTAACCATGAAAGGTCATTTAGGCAACCATGCAAACTAAGATGAGATGTATGCTCTATACGCGCCTTGGGACGCTGAGCTCAAATATGTGTTCCTTATCTGCTGAACTCTTCTCTGAAAGGAATGAAGCAGAAAAGCGCAGCGGCAGTGGTCGAGGCTCACGGAAAAGAGGTCATAGGCTTGGCTCTTGGCGAGCTTACCTTTTTCTCATTTTTGATAACATAGCTAGAAGGATCCCTGATATCGCTAGTCCAACTAATTTGCGCATAGCTACCAGTAGAAAGAATTCAAGGGCAGTTAATAGCAAATTTGCTCCGACTACATAATGCGCCTGGTGCGCTCTGCCAGCATTTCCTTCGAATACAAGTGTGACACTCGTTTTCGGGGAGTCAAACTCCCCTTTTAGATAAGCTTCCGGCCAAATCTGAAACTTTGACATAATCTTGAAAATTTGGGAAATCTCTTAATCACTTATCCATCAATCCATTAATAACTTATAATGTATGCTATACGAAAAGCTGGTAACTGGGATGGAAAAAATTATCGACTAATCCAGCAATACAAAAAGGTGGTGGGCGGGCGGACCGGCCCTGTCTTACTTGCCTGCCTCGCTGTTTGGTCAAATTACAACAACTTTCTCTCTTCTCCCCCTCCGTTCGTATCTGGTCAACTCTAAAACTGGAGTTTGAGGAGTGATCCCATCATTGCTCCTCTTGTTCTCGACTAGTTCATGATCTCAGGTTTGATCATAAACTTGTCTTTAGGGATAGCTTGCATCCCCTAAGCACGAAGATGGTACCACTTGACCACCGAAACACTTGACTTTGCATAGGGTCATGGGCACTCACAGGCAAGCAGTGCTCACATTAAGAGGATCTACTTGCAATCTCTTCATGGGTGTAACTTCGGGCGACAGTTTAAAGAAATAACGGATTCAGAAAAGCTTCTCAGCTATGTTGAAAAAATTAGGAAGACGGAAGGCACCAAACCCGCAATCCCGTGCTTGATAGGCACGGGGTCGCTATCATCTGCCTATCAAAGCTCACCTCAGTAATTCTTCGTGACGTTTATAATGGTGTCTGCAGTGAGGAGTGACGTGCGGCAAAGAAAACTTTCTGTAACTCTTTCAAAGAAGAGTTTTAAGCAGATAATGTACGCAATTTGAGCTCAGGCTCCCAAGATGAGTATGATTGATGGCACCTCATTTCATTTGGCCGAGTTGGCCTATTGCCCTTCCCTAGTAAGAAGAAGTGACTACAATTACTAGGTTACAGAACCAAGGGGTGCGAGCTCCCATAAGTATCCAAAGATGAGATCTACGGAGGGAAAAGTGGATAGCAACTGAAGTGTGACCTCGGCGAGGCGATTCTACAATTGGAAGTAAGATTACATGTATCTAAACAATTAAACTATTGTAGAATGGCGAGCTAGCCCATTGCACAATGAAGGCGTAAAGTAAATTGATGAAGAGGATCGAAAGATCCTGGGAGGGGAGAAGGGCGGACGACTGGATATGATTGCAGTTGAGCGAATGACGCGGCAAAGTTGCGCGCCGATTCGATGACGAAGGAAACCAAGACCCTGTGCCGATCAAGATTGGCGCAAAGGGTAAATACGCATTTCAATTCGCCTTTTTTTAGAGTTGCCTTGGAGCACCTTCACTTGAGGACATGGAGCAAGTTATGAAAAAGGCACTTTTTCCCACACAAATACTGCCATGTCTTTGAAATCAGCACCGGTCCACAGACTGCCACGCCATTGTCGATGAAGGGAAAGTACATAGAAGGCTGTTCTCGATGCAGCCGTCCCTCAAACGCTGCTTGTTACAGTATCAGGAAAACCGTGAAAAATGCCTGTTGACCGCAATCTTTGAAGAATAAGAATAAAAAAATAAATAGATAAATAAATAAGAATCTTCGAAGAAGGAGTAAGAGAAGACGGGAGGAGGTTTTTTCGTTTTCTTTTGAGATGTCCTTTTGAGGTGTCGCATCAGAATCTCAGAATTTCCATGGAAGCGATCTCCAGGAGTCTCCTGAAATAAAAATTATAAAAATAAATATTTTGTCAATGATGGTTATTGGTTTATTCAATCTTTAAATTGAGATCAAATTGAGGATAAAAACTGATTGAATCTTTTCTTAAGAGGCGGAAAATTCTTTTCTACATCCGTGTCAATTTTGTGGCCTCCACCCACTGAGACACGACTGCAGCCGCCTCTTTGCCTGCTTTTTCGTCAACGGGAAACGCTTGGATCTATCTTGGTTTCCATCAGTTGGCTGCGGCTTTCACGTGAATGATCGATGATTTTGTTCCCTGACAAGGAAAAATCATGACCGTTTCGAAATAAGATGTATGCTTGTGTACACGCCTCGAGATGTTGAGTTCAAATTTGATTTTGCTATCTGTGAGAGGGTTTTTCTAAACAAGTCATGAAGCAGGAAAGCGCAGCAGTAGGCCCGCAGCAATATTTTAGAAGGCGAGAAGAGCGTCAAGTGCAGACCACACATCCAAGTGACTACGGCCAACAAAAAAGCTGCTTAATCTCAGCCGTCGTCACTTGTGGTGTGTGGTCTCGCTCCTCTCGTCTTCCGAAATGAAGGGTAGCTATATGTAGTTTTCAGAAGAGCAAAAGTAAGGACCCACACCGAAATCATTCCCACGATCTCTTGCCAGGGGTCACCACTGCACTTTCCTGCCTCATAACTTCTTTCAGCAAATCGTTCCATAGATAACAAAGCAGAATTGATCCTAGCGTCTTGATGCACGTGTGCAGGCATGATCCTTCCAATGGGCGTACTTGTCGGATAGAATACATCCACTCACACCGGATTTTTTTTGCAAAGATTTGCTTTCACAATCAAGCCCACACAGTCGTATGCAGTATGTATGCAACTCAGCGTAGCAGTTGTTAGGCCGAGCATTGAGACCGAGCATCTGGCAACGTGATATAAGAAGCGAGTGGTGGTTCCACCTACATAAGTTAATCTAAGGACACTTTTGTGAAATCACGCTGACCAATCCAGAAAGCAAAAGGGTCTGAAGGTTAGAATTACCTGTGACTTGAACTGTTTACTTTTTTCAGACGAATTATGGTTACAAGCGTGTGCCCCTGGTTGATCACCATAGGTATCGTGTCCGCTTCGTTGGGCTCTGCAATGGGAAGCCTTGTCAGTGCGTCGAGAATTTTTCAGGTAATACATAGGCTATTCCAAATATGAACATGTGGAATTGTTTTATTTGCTTTTAGGCGGTATGCGAAGACAAATTAATTCCCCTTATTACGTTCTTCGCGAAAGGATATGGTCCGGGAAACGATCCACGAAGAGCCTATGCCCTCTGCTTCCTCATTACAATCGCTGTCTTAATGATAGGTGAATGCCTTCGAGAATTTTCACGTTCTTCTCGGAAGGATTACCAAATTTTAGGCAATTTGAACATCATAGCCATTATATCAAACTTTTCCTCTGCGCTTACGCTCTGGTCAATTACACCTGTTTCGAGGCCATTTTCTCTCAATCTCCAGGTGAGCGGTGTTTTCCAGCGAGTTTTTACCACTGACTTTCAAGAACAGCATAACTGATGACGTAGTTTGACGTAGTTGATGCAAAGGTCCTCCAGCGCGCAGGGAATTGGTTGGGACCGCCTGGTTGAATCAACACCTCCCCCAAGAGGCCCACCGCGCGGCGAAGGCAAGAGACGCAGATGCGGCAAAGGACGAGTCGCAGCGCGTGCTGTGCGATATGAGACGTAGTATGGTACACTCTTTAACCTGACGCCTAACCGCTACAGTATGCGCTGCGACTCGTCCTTTGCCGCGTCTGCGTCTCTTCCTTCACCGCGCGACGGCCCTCTTACTAGACGCCCAACACCTCCACATCGAATTTGCGGGGCCACAGTGGTCGATATGGAGTTGCGCATTCCGAATTAATTAAAAAATGAAAAAAAGAAGTAAAGAAAAACCGTCGATGAAGCCGTAAACAAGATTCACTTAAAATAAGAGAAGCGCGTGGCCATACGAGATGTGCGAATTTGGCTGCTCCTGCCCAGCTGTTTTGAATTGGCCGCTGCGTCGTAATCCACATTGCCTGCCATGGGGTACGCGCGACGTAACTCGTCCAGATGTTAGGATTAGTCGTCAAAAGTCGACCGTCTGAGGTTTTGTACTGAGTATAGCTGTGATCGACTCCCGAGCTCCGGTAGCCTGAAGGAACAGCTTTCGTTCGTCTCCTAAAAACTAATTACTTCTGTACAGGATCCCTAACAACAGTGTACTCTCAACTGATGGTATTTAGGGCGAAAAAGCGGGCAGTAGATGGAGGAGGGCATTTAGCGCGTCTTGTTTTTTATCGCGCACCTTTAGACCGTTGACAACGGCATGGAAGAGAGCTACTCTATCCCACTGAATAGAGATCTTCAACAGGGCTTCTGCTAGGAATGTTATATTAAAGGCATAAAATGGATTTGTAAGGGCGTTAAATAATGACGTCATCAAACCTGCAACGCCCTTCAGTCATCGTGATCACTGCCTATAAACAGTCCCTTCTCTCTAGGCCTAGAGAGGTGCCAACGTGCAATACGTTGACAAATTTTTTCTTGGAGTTTGAAGAGCTTCTTAAAGGACTTGTTGTCATCACAGAGTGAATTTCTTGCTCATAGCTTAGGATTCCGTCCGGCTTTTCGATTCTATTCGCCATGGTTGTCACTGCTTGGAGCCATCATGTGTGTCTCAATCATGTTCATTATGTCATGGCCAACAGCACTGCTCACCTTCGCGTTCTTCATTGCTGTCTACGCCTTTATAAAACGTTTGAAACCAGGTGATTTCATTTCAATATCAATATTTTAAAACATTCACTTGAATCTAGTGAAGACATGATATGCCCAATTACAAAGGCATGAATTTGTTGCTCGAACTCTGAATATGAGCTGCTTCAACCAACCAAGGCATACTCTCTCTTCGGGCTCGGTACTGAAGCCTCACTTTCTTGAGACAGAAAAATTATGACGCATACATTGGCTGGCATCGTGCCATTGACGAAATGAAAGCAGTAGTGTTGAAAGGTCAGTTGGTGAAAAAAAAAAGCCGTGAAAACTGGCCAAAATGTGAGGTGGACGAAAAAGGGGTTTCCGCCATTCATGAAACTCCTGGGGGAAGGAAAAGCCGTGTCATTATCAAAACGCACGTTACGATCCGTTTTCCGATGCGATCCTGTGCATTATTGAGACAGAGGACGATTTTGGAGTCTGTGGGACCTCACACACCTTTGATAGCGCGCCTACAGTTGTCGCAGTAACCGCCTTCAGTTGTCATATGTCGAATCTGAATGGAATTCGGATGCAGGGCGCTTTCTGAAGGCGGGTCGACCAACACTGAGTGTCTTATCTACTCTCTCTCTCTCTTACGTTATATATTCGCCATATTTGAAAGAACTGCAATTGACTGACACAAGTAAACACATTTTAAACATTTAGCGAGAGCACGAAACTTAATTCTAGACATCAACTGGGGCACATCCACTACGGCTACCACGTACAAACATGCTTTTAATGGAGTGATGAAACTTACCAAGAACGAAACTCATGTGAAGAATTATCGCCCACAGGTACGACTAACACTAATAAAACAATTGTGGTAAAACACCATTTGCGGGTGAACTCCTATAACCTAAGGAACAACTTCATTTGTACAGCGTATTATCCATATTTTCCATCACTTATTGTGTTGCTTTCGAATACGTCCTTCGCATAAAGCTAGAGGAATGGAGCGACTGAAACTACAAAGAATATATTTTATCACGTCTCCTCACATGCGTTACGCGCCCTCCCCCTCCCTATCTTCGCCATGAAGCCACTGATGTGTTCCTTACTGACCCCCATGATTGCGACTACCGTAACAAGTATGACCCGTCCCCCATCCGAGGAATTCCTCGATCGATATTCACCCTGTTTAACACGTAACGTACCGGCGCTCTTTGCCGTTTTCCCGCTCGCGTGGCCAAGCGATTTTTTTTCGGCCCGCGGCATGCATCACCATGGGCTCCATGGAATAGCTCACCGGCGGCGCGGATGCGAGCGCGTGCAGGTGACGTCAATTTGACGTCACAGCAGCGGGGAGGGATTGGGCAAGACAGGCGCCATTACTTTATAACAATACGTATTAGACACTATCGATTCTGACTTCACTGTGCAGTGAGTAGAAGTAATAAACGAAGAATGAACTTAAAGTAATCAACTTCGACTAATTGCGCACTCGTTGGGTTTTAAATGCGAAACCGTTAATTTCCCTCAAATTTGCAAAAATATTCCTAATTTTCGACGGCGAAAATTGTACCTACACACAATACAACCTCTTTGCTCACGGTACTACTGACTGCATCAATTAGTGAATGCTAGTATCCCTTCTATCAGCCAAACGAAGTGACAGCAACACTCCTACCTCGCCCTCTCGTTGCCGTTTTTGTCGCAGCTGTGACGTCACCTGCACGCGCTCGCGTCCGCGCCGCGGTGAGCTTTTTTCGTATCCCCCATCACCATGTGATGCACTTGGCCACAGGGAACAGTCTTTTTTCTCAACATGTGAATTTTTTCCATTTTGGAGTCAAAATCTATTATGATATGTTTTCGCACATGGAGAGCAACATATTGTATCTGCCTAGTATTTCGTAATCTGAAGTAAAATTCTGTTGGTCACACCATCTTCTTGACAACTATTTGATTTTCAATACCAGTCATCTTGTACACTTCTTGCTATAGCGTGATACAATTCAGGCAATAAAAACCAAAATTTTGATGCCATGGGGTTTTGATCAGGCCAATGGTGCAGTTGCTTCTACACACTGTCTTCTGTGATCCATTTGTCTCATTTGCCGAATGCTACGTTGAATCCAGTCAAGTTTCGGTTTCGATTCTGGTAGTGTTCCAGATGGAAGGTTTGGAGAGCTCATTCGTACAATTGCTTACTGAAAGTGATGAAGAAACAGAAAATGATGATGTTTCGGGAGCTCCTAATGGTTTTAACTTTAGTACAATTCCTATGATTGTTATCAATTTGTTACAAGAAGAGTACAGGAGAAATATTACAATAAAAGTTGTTGTGAGATTTGTTTAACGAAAGATGGTGTCTGATCACGTCATATTTTCTCAGCTGGTGAAGTCCCAGGCAGATATGTTATTCAGCATATTCGAAAACATATGACCACAGTTTTTGATCAGTTTTGCTTCATAAAGAAAATAGAAATTTGAGTTTGAATCTGGTGCATCACCATGTGATGCACTCGGTACGCAATGTGTTAAAGGTGTGTTCGACACACCTTCCAGCGTCTTTTGAACAATGAAGACCCAATCAGCTCATTTTTCGAGCCGTCACAATCACTACATTCAAATTGTGCACTCCAGGCGATCCAAGTCGAATGGTCGCTAGCTAACAGAAATTCGTATTCTTTGTGCAGTATATGTGACATTTAGGTTCTCGTATTGAGCGGAGCTCCACACGAGAGGCCGCCTTTGATTCAACTGGCTTACAGCATCACTCGGGGAGCAAGTCTGTTAATGTGCGGGAATGTCATACACGAACCGGTATGTTGATGATGTTTCAGAGAGTATGACCTTCTTTTACCTTTACCATTTTAGACCTCTCTTGAGGCTAGCAATCAGCTGGCAACAGCCCGTCGGATAGAAGAAATGTCGCAAAAAGTACTGCGAAGGGAACACATTAAAGGCATCTGCAAAGTGGTCGTTGCTCCGTCATTGGAAAACGGTTGTACTATGCTCTACCAGGTTTGCACGGAAATCTCTCTTTACGAACATGTCTCTTGTACTCCAATGTTCCCCGCTAGTTTTGCAGATCTGCGGTCTGGGTCGGATGTCGCCGAACATCGTGTTGCTTGGCTTCATGGAAAGCGCGCTGAAAAGCGGAGACGACACTGGGTTGTCGAAAAGGAATGAATACTTGCACATTATACAGTAAGACCTTATCACCAATTCGAACAATTTCGGCTGTGAGAGTCAATGTGGATCGGCCCAACGCATAATCATAAAATGACATGCGGGTGTGCTGAGTAGCCATAAAATGGTGCACAAGACCCAGACAACATATTAATCTCATAGGTCCGATTATAAATAACCGTATCCAAAGGATGGAGCCCTTAAACATTCTGTAGCCCCTTCTCCAGATTGTGCAACGGCTCCCGCCATTGACCACTCTGTTATCTAACATTATGTAGCATCGCGCCGTCCCATCCAAAGAACACCTCCTTATTCTTTCAAAAAGACTCAGGGTCTGATAACGTT